GTAATAGAGCATTTTAATCGTGTGTTTGTGAAATTTGAAAGATCTAACAAAACGCTCAAGGTTTCAAACGAAACAACTCGCCATTGACTTACAATAGTTCATCGCAATTACTCCTTGAAAATGATAATGAAATGAGAAGACGATAAAGGAGACGCAGGAACGCGAGATTACAGGAGAAATACTGTACTAATAAACTGAAATATTACAATGTCATACACCATTACGTCAGTAAACGAACATTAAAATAAATGCATGTCCATCAAATAACGTGACCAACGCAAAGACAAATTCTAAAACTACGTTCCACCTGGGCAGTAATGGTCATTAGTATTTATGTTTAATTCTGTTATACCAAATGCAATAGTGTTACTTCGAAGAGACACTACTGAAAATTGTTTACAAGGAATATACGACAAAATAAAGGCAGTTTGAAATAGAGACAAATGTGATTGTGCGCTTCATATGAAAATGAAAGACAGGTAATGCAGGAAACAAAATTAATAATAACTATACGCAAGATAACGACATATCAAGACACGAGCTCTATATTAAATTATATGTGGATTTTGTTTCTCTTTTCGTTTTTTTTCGTTTTTATAATTATTAAAATATAAAGTATTAAATCATTATTATGATATTAAATCAGTCGGGCTTACCGCAGTTCGGGCAGGCATCAGGCATTAGTATAATTATACATCAACTCGAACTAAGTGGAGTTGAAATAATATATATATTAGTACATGCTACTTTGATACATTTTAAATATACATACATATTATAATATAATGTATAATATATATTATATTATATTATATATATATTACTTGAATCTTATTAATTATCCAAATTCTACAGTACAATAAGATCAAGCTCTAATCGAATAATTAAGATGAGACATGTTATTCTCGCTCTGATTTAATTTATATACTATGATACGCACTAAAATATTGTATGTTAAGGATGGATTTAATATAGAGCGTGCCTCTTCTACGCAATTTTGAATGAAATCAGTGACGGTATCAAAGAAGTCACGTAAAACAATTCACTTTGCTCTGTTACTTTCGATGTTAATGCGCTTTAAGTGCAAAAAAAGTCAATCTATATTGATTCCGATTATCAAATGTACATTCATGAATGTACATGAACGACCAACAAGTGACAAACGTCATTTTGTTTGACGACATAAATATACGTTTATCGTATTCGATGACCAGCGATTGCTATAGTAATCGTTAATACAACTTAAATGCATCAGAGATAATAGAGGAACTCACGTGAACATTAGCATTATAGTCTTCAGTAGATTTTAGGTGCCGAACGATCATTAATGGGTCCGCTGGTTTTTCTCAAAGAAGTCCCCCTCCGTATTTGATCCATGAGAGAATCTCTAACTTGCAACGGATCCATAATAGGTACGCGATTACCCATAATACGTCTCACGCTTGCCGATTTACTTGACATATTCCCTTGTATATTTTGTTGTTGTTGCGCCAATTTAGCATTTAAAGTTTCAAGAAAACCGCTTGGCGTTTTAGTGTTTTTCGTTATTTGCTGATCAATAGAGTGCTTCCTTGAAGATTTAGGACTGCTATTAGAGTTATTGCCGCCCGTAGCATTATTACCTGTTGTACTGTTAATAAGTTTAGCGCTAAGTACTGCCATAAAGCTCTGACCCACTCCTCCTGGACCTTGACCTTGAATATTTACACCCGCGCTGATCGTACTCATTTGCGTAGTGACCGATCCACGTTCTTGGGATGTCGAACGAATCGCTGCACACGAACGTTCGACAGAAGACCGAGTAACTTGTAATACGGTATTGTGTTGTAACGCGCCAGTCTGATTGTTATGAGACTGTGTCTGATTCGTAGCCTTCCGTAAAAGAGAAGGACTGGCAGGAGTATGACGCAGTTCTGTAAGAGTCCTTACTGTTTCTGACACAGAGACGGACCTACAATACCAAATACATATTGCGTTAAATCGGACTTCAACCGTGCTATTCAAAGATACTTTGTTTTCATAGGAGTCAAAGGGTATCCCCTACCGCTGAGGAGTAGGACTGGCAGTAGGCGAAGAACCTTCTAATAAGAATGCTGGCGGTGGCGGAAGATTTTCAGCTTCATCGCAAACATTGTCAGTACGTTCATCGCTAGAACCTGATACAGGATTGCTGAATGTAGCAGTTATGATTGTAGATGTGCGTCTTGTAGGCGGAGGAGGTTTGTTTGCTTGTTGTATCGATCCTCTGCGAACCATTAAGGTAGACGCAGCACCAGGTACATTCCAAGCATTCTCATTTTGATTCTGAAGCGAATGAGAATGCGGTATAGTAGTCTGACTTCCATAGCCACTGCTAGATTCCGCGCTAGACTCTGACGTTTGGCTTCCACCGTCCTTTTCTGTCACTTCAATCTAAAACAATTAGTCCATATAAATATTTATAAATACAGTGGTACCTCGACTTACGAACCACTCTACATACGAACTTTTTTTTCAAACGATTTTCAATATTTCTATGATTACTAATATTTTTTGTTGGGAGGCATATATTTTTATATATTGCATTTTGTAAAGAACGTTGTAACATATTCAAGTATGCTGAGAGATTTTGAAGATAAGAGAGCAATTTAATTTTATTATAATAATATGTCAATTTGTTGTTTATATTATAAATCACCAAAGTAATGGTCATCATCAGTGATGCACTCAACAATATCAAAACACTATATGTAATATGTTTATGAATATACAAATTCGTACAAAGTATGTTTCCTATTTAATTGTAAAACCAGTATTAACATATCAGAAAGCGTCTCGTGATAACTTATTATTCAAAGCGAGAACGGATTGAGATGATTTACATTTATAATGAAGCCAAACGTAACTGTACATTGCTTACATCCTAATAATACAGTAAAAAGTTTCGCGAAACCAAGCGTTAAGAATAGAAAATCTGAGAGTACTGCTAATTAAAACCTGCACTTTAATTTTAGACAACTGGAGCGAGAAGCTAACACCAGTAAATTAAATATACAGTGTGTGCTCAATTAACAGGAATTTGATCTATTCATTTTTTAGAAATTTCAAGGTAGGAATTCTGAAAATTGCATCTTCTGTCAATGGTCAATGCAATAATTTATAAATAACGAAATAAATTTTTTATAAAATTATTATTTATATAATTTCAAATAAATAATTAAATGATTCTTTGTAAAGTTAACTCGTTTTGCAACAATTTTATTGTATGATATAGATTCTCCAAAAGATTTGTCATTAAATGGTTCTAAAATTTGTAGTACCAATATGATAGCTACCTAGAGCATTATTAAATTCAACGTAACGTGTTAACATGTTCATTAAATTCAACATCACTTGAATCATTTGTTGATCAAAAACTAAAAGAATTCATAACATAAAAACAAATTTAATCTATCTAACACTGTTTTGGAATTGGTACAATTTATTTTTTCAATATGCAAAATCACTTCAAAGTGATCTTTCAAACAGACTTGAATATGTTTTAATGTTCACTACAAGATACCGTAAACAGAAAAATTACCTGCTATCAGAAATACTGACAATCTTAAGGTAATTAAAAAAATGTTCATTCCGTGGTATTTCTCCTTCGAATCGACTCAAATTGGGCTTTAAATAGTTGTCGTATCAATAAAAACGGAGAAAATATTTAAGTATCCTTCTTTAGCTGAAACACCCTATATCATGATATATATACCTTTTCAGTCCCCGACACAGTTAACGACGCAGGAGGTGGAGGCAAAGGTAGCTGCATTTCTTGAGCACGACTTGCTGCTAAATTTGCTAATTCATGCATGTTCACGTACATCGGTTGCTGAAGCTGGTGAGTTGCTAATTCTATAATATATTAGCACGTTAAACATAGTTGCATTTTAAACAATGTAATTAGTAAAAAGTAATAAATACCTTTTGCTAAATGGGCTGGAAGCGGTAATTTGGGTTTACCTCGAGGGCTTCCGGGAGGCTCATTCTTTAACGGAACTGTCGGTCGTTCTAAACTAGAACACCTGTTCGGTATAGGAGGACGATTACTACCATTATTCCTACGTAATTGTACTCTAGATGCTTGTTGATTTGAGGAAGAACACGACGAGGAAGAAGAGACTGGAGAAGCTGGTTGACTATGACAACAACCGCTATTGTCTGGAGCTTGGAATGTGTAAACGCTGAGAGCTGGTCTTTGATGGCCTTTCTCATAAGCTGCAGCAATAAACGATATTATAAATTAAAAGCAAAGAATTATAATACTAACAGTATAGTTTCCTTACCGGAAGAAATTGTATGCGGCCGTTCGTTGATCGAGTTCTGATTTTGCCTATCGTATTGAACTGATGTTTCCTGTAAGTCAGGCCAAGTAGCAGTGGTTACAGGTCTTGTTGTTGTACAACCAGTATTTTGATTATTTTGAGAAGACACATTTGATACCTACGACAACATAGTTACCTTCAGCAATAAAACAGGAACATTCGTATTCAAAGATATAGAACGCTATTTAGTATCGATAGAGAAGAGGGAAAACGTGAAACGCTAGCAGGCTTCTAATTTCTAGCAACCTTACCTGATGTTCAGAAATTGGTTGTGTATATAATGTATCCTGTGAAGTGAAGCCAGAGTCACGGGAACTACCGTTTGCCAAGTGGCGCAGCGTCATCATACCACTGATGCTGGAGGGCCTGACACCGACAGACTACAACGAGTACAACATCGACTACCACATACACTAAGCTGATGCCAAATGGCGTTCATGCTGTAATCTACGAGCAACTACTTACATGGTGTACAGACGGTGCATAAACTAATATATTATATGGTGATGTAACTAATATGCCATGCATTATAAAGGCTAGCATTCTTAGTTCAATGACTTAGTACGAAGAAAGGAGAATTAATATTATTTTTATATGCCTCTAAAGTTTTCACCTGAGAAAGTGATCTATGCCAAGGATGTCCAGATGGGCTGGGATGACTTTTGCAAGAACCACTGCTACTACTAGTTAAAGAACTGATTGAACACATTGAACTTTTCCTCGATCCGAGAGACAGAGAAGGACTGGAAGGAGGCGTAGCTAGTGACCATTGTGTAACGTCGCAACCTTTTATATCTGTTATCACTTGTTCTGATGCAGGTGGTAAATGATGTGGGGAGGCAGCATGTCGTTGTAACTGATCGGAAACTTCTTGAAGGTGTGTCAGTTCCATTAGCATCGCAATTTCCTCATCCTACACATTTTTGTATGAATTATTGTAAGCGTTATTGAGAAATTGAATTGATAACTACTTAGTAAATGTAATCAACTTTACTAACAAGCACTGGTTTTAAAAATCTGGCAAGAAGACAAAATCTCCCTCTTTCTTCGAGCAGAGCTGCGCGAACGGCTCTTCTTTCTGTTTCTTCTAAACTTAGGCGTTTTTCTTGGACAACTGCAGCAGAAGATTCTAGCATTCGATTAAATTCAACATCACCTGTCAAAGTTCCATGACTTTGTGGTTGTCCTTGCCCATGTAAATGCTGTCCTTTACGTGCCTTTTTCTTTTGTAATCGTAATGTATCTGTAGATCGCTTCTTCAGTTCTGCTCTTGCTTTCTTATATTCTGCAATGGATATGTAGAACAAATTAAAATTAGATCCTTCAAAAACTTATAATATCTTCAAATTATTATAATATCTTCTACTGACCTTTGGCATGTTCTTTATCTAAATTTATTAAAGATTTTTTCCAATCTTCTAATTTCTCTTGGAGTGGCAAGACCAAGCAATCCATAATAGCACTAACAAGAATAAATTTAAGTACAAACTGAACAATAAAAATGAGGAAGTGTAAAGTTATCAAGAAACACTTACCTGGTAAAGGATTTCATACGTGTCTCTACAGCTTTATGTCTAAGACATATCCGAGTTAAAGCAGTCCCAATTTCTTTTGTTGCGCCTTAATTGCAAACAATTTCTTAATTTTACGTATACTTACATAGTATCATAAAAATGGAAATTAGTTTTTAATTTAAAAAACAAACATAAATGTATGAAACTACTGCAATACCATGTACTTAATTAAATATTAGAAACTCATTTAGAATGTAAGTATGTAATGATACCACGAGTGATTTACCTCTTGCATTAGTTGCAGCATCAGCAATTTTTTGAAAAGTTTCAAGATACGCTGAAACAGCTAAAATAGCAGCTCTACAAAAATGAGAATGCAATTAACATTGTTTTTAAAATTCATAAACTAAAATTATAAAATATTAAATTGTTAATATATCCTGGACTAATTTTCATAATCTTTTCTTATTTTAATGCATAACACAAGAATATAATATTTATGTAGATGATACAATTTATCAATAAAATAAGAAATAATATTAAGCTGTTAAATGAAACTATTACCTTAAGCAGGAATGTAATTTCGTTGCTTTAGAGATTAAATCTTCCCATAATGGTGCTCCATTCTAAAAACAATAAATTTTGTAACAGATTCTTATTTATAATATTATCTCATATATCTTTAATAATCTCTACCGCATATATAAATATATCTAATTGACATAGATGTATTTTATTTCTCTTTAACTATATGTTACAAGTTATCATAGAATTATAACACACATTGGAATGTAGATAATATAATCGCATACGCCTACTTGTGTTTTATGATTAGATGTTTTTGTAAAATGAACTTCGAAAATAAAATAGTATAATGGAAAACATGAAAATAAAAATTTAATAAAAGGAAGTAGTTAATAATCTCTTTATATTTTGAAAAACATATTTATACATAAATGTAAACCAAACTTAGATGAAGTATGATATATAATATATATTGCACATATATGCTAAAAATCATAAATGCAAAAACATTTGTTGTACATTTCACGTCAAAGTACATCTAAATTAATAAAAAGCAGTAAATGTAAAATAGTACTTGAAACAAAATATAAAATTGTTTCTAGAATGTATAAAAATATATAAATGTAAATAAAAATTATTCAAATAAGTCTAAACATATTTTAATCATCAAGATATTATTTGCATACATTTGATTTTCTGTACATCAATTAGCATAATGTTTTGGATATTTAAAGCGCTTGAAAAACTCAAAATAATATAGCTTTATTACGTTTGTTTACAATTCTAATAATTTTATTACGCAAATTTGTAGACTACATTTGTATAATTATTTTCCTAATTCTCAATATTCAAACGCTTTCTTCTCAAAATTCAATTAACTCCGGTTGTCAGTAAAAAAAAATTGAATATTCCGACACTTTATAAACATGTGTAAATTAGCGTCTGTCCTCATTCTGCCGCATTAAAGTAACTCGATAATTTTGAAGAATAAACTTCTAAAATTAAAGCTTCGCTCACAACGTTTGCGCCTAATCTAATACCGAGAACCAACAGAATCACATTACTTTTACGATTGTATTTAATGATTTCATAATATTTACGAAATATGGGACTCGAAGGGACTGCATATCGACATCGCGCCTTCGCCTGCATCGTAAATTGTGCAACGGTACAGAAACATACAAAAAACAATGGACAGGAAAAACGCGGTCGAATCTCACTATTTAATATCGAGCGTTAACAAACGTATTATTACTTACCTTCATATCGGTAATAATCTGTTGAAAGAGGCCACCCAAAGCACTACACTCTCTCTCAATTGTTGCATCCATCTTTGACGGTATGAAATTGTTTTGTTAGTTGGCCTCAATAAAGTTCTTCCGCATCAGAATTGTTGGAAAGTTCACTTCTTGTCATCTGTGCATGGATATACGGAGTTGCCGTAGGAATACTGGCGATTCGTGTAATTCGCCATTTTCAGTAACAGGGAACGACAATTTTAAAGTAACACGCAACGAGACACGATAAAGTATATCTACATAAACTGGACTCTCACGTACGCCACGACGATCCTTTTAACCGAGCTGATTAGAAATGCGAGGGATCGCTATCGATGTTTCACAACCGCTTAGGAGGATTTGAAATCATAACATTGATTAGTTCCACGAAGAAAGATTGTAAACACGAGGGAACAGGTTTATCGAAACAACGCACTTATCGCGACGATCAAGTATGGCTCGCGTCTGCGTTGATTCTGTTTTCGTTGTAATATCTGGATATCCGTGGGTGCCCCCCTACGGCGACCCCGTTACAGAACTTCAAATTGAGGATTCGGAGTGTATCTAATCGTTACTCAGGGTAAGGGTTCTCTCTCTTTCTCTCTCTCCCTCTCTCCTTCTCTCCCCCTTTCTCTTTCTCTACCCCTTCGCCAATCACTTCCGGAGTGTCGACTGTTGAAAGAGGACATCCTGCATCATTGCTCGCTTATTCTGATTGGTTATTCGATACAGCTATGGGGAAATATTTGGCACATACATTGTAAATAGTTTTTAATAATGAATCTCGAAGGAAAAATGTAGGTTTTTCTTAGTTGAAACGTAAGTAGAACTACACTGATTATGCGACTAATTTTAAAAATATTTTTCTGTTGTGGTAACTTGGTAACCATAAATTAATTTCAGATTTTACATTTGTAATGTTCCTACTGTATTCTAAAATACTGTGAAATACATTATTGTTTGGTATACTGTTAAATAAAATAATTATACACCACTCTCCTACTTTTTGTGATATGTTGCGGAAAACAGCATTCCCATCTATGATACGACGTTCTGTGCCGGCGGTCTTTCTTCAATTTAAAATTTTACTTGGAATCTCAAATAAGTTGGAAAAAGGAAGTATTAATCTGAAAGTGACAATTATGAGCCTTGTATTGAGATATAACGAATCGTTCTATGATATAATATGGCAATGTTTTATAAAATTGCTTGAAGTTATGCCGAGCGTTTTAAAATTTATCACGGCGACTGGAACTGTTGCGGTTACTTCATATGCGTTTTATCGTGTTTATGGTAGATTCAGTTTGCAATGTTACAGAATTTTTCACAGATAAAATTTTTCTACTTATTGAATTTTTAATTCTTCCAATTATTTAAATTTTATGTTTTTTAATTAAGTTACAGCGCGTCCGTTTAAAAAATTCAAACATGATGTAAAACACAATAAGACAATAGGATTAGAGGAAATTCGAAATTATAATCGTTCTGTCATTAGGCAGCGAAGCATAATTAGTCACAAAGAATTGTTCCATAAACTGGAATATGCAGCTGACGTAAACAAACATTTTATTATAAAATATTATATAACATAAGTTACAGTAAAAGTTACAGTATGTACAAGTCATATTTGAACATGCTTATTAAACTTCTCTGACCAGTTGTTTGTTTTTGTTTGCAGAACTGTTATGATAAAGTTTGTGCATTAAAATGCATTGATATATCTGTATATTGTCCACAATTGTTAAATGTAAAGTCTTCAGTTAATGGCTTAACACCCTTTCATCGAGTTTGTTACAATGGACATGCATGCTTAATAACTTTTATGTTGGGAAAAGGTATGCACAAAGTAAACAACAAATAGTAATATTTAATGAAAAACTAATTTGCTTTAATGAAATACATTTATGAAATAAACATAGGTGCAGATCCATTTATAACTACAGTAGCAGGGGAAAATGCTTTATGTATGGCTGTTCACTATTATCTCAATAATCCATCCAATAATGATTTTTCATGTCTTACAATGCTACAAGAAACAGGTTTATTTTATATATAATTTTATGCATACTATTTTAAAAGAGTACTTATTTTAAACAAGAAATATTTTCTTTGTCAGGATGCAAATTTGGTATTAAAAACAAATGGTATAAGATTTTATTAAAGATGGCAGTTCATAAAAATCATACCAAATTAATACAATGGTTGATTTTAAATCAAGAAGCCCCATTACGTAAAATTTCCAGATGTTGTTCCAGTCCACCAATAATAAATAATTACAAACTTCATTAGTGTCGTAAAAATATGTGTACATCATTTATATAAAAAGAAATTAAATTATTTATATCACTATATATATATATATATATATTATAATTACAACAAAGTATATAATTTTCATTGTACTTAAATATGATATGAAATGTAAACTAAATGTAATTTTATTATGATCAACATGATCATAAAATTATATACATACTATGAAAATATAATGCTGTTTTATAATTTGATGTTTTTATGATTCCTTTAATGTTTCATTTTTAATCTTGCCGCAGTTAAGATTGCGTCTATATCTTAAACATTAGGTTACTCGTTACACTGCACTGTAGGGTTAAAATTGATTACAGCGCCAAAGCATCGTGCATTGTATTTGAACTCTTAATACGACAATTGTTGTCAAAATAGACTGACTAGCTTACTAAACAACTTTAATTTAAAATTTCCGAAATCTTATCAAATTCGATTGAGCTGTAATTTTGCACGTAGTTTCATCTTACATAAAAACAACGTCTGCGAGAATGATTTTTGAATCTGCACCCCGTTTGTATGCTGGTTTATCATATTTACTACTTGTTCAATTTTAATCACTTTGCTTAATGTAGTTCTCCTATTGACCATTCTTTAAGTGTAGAGGGCAGAGCAAAACTTCTGATTTTTTACACAGTCGGTAATTCAGAACATGTGACGTCAGTCTCATAAGCTTGCAATGTCTATCTTATACTTCGTCTGTGCTACTAACAAGTCTAAAATCTTGTATTATCGGTAACATCGAGGCTAATCGGTTGCGATAGATTTATAATTTAATGTTAATGTGAATAACAATTTAGTACTTGTGATGAAATCATTTTATTTGTATAAATATGTCGGACTATATTTAATATTTTGATTAAATAAGTGTAAACAACTGAGTATATAAAAAAATTTAATATTGAAGAAAAAATAAAAACAGAATGTTTTGTTTATTTACTTGAATTTGTTTATACTCTGTTGATAATGTTGTAAATGACGGGGAAACGGTAAGAGGGTTACGTTGGACCAGACCTAACCGCTAGAATATGTGACAAACAGTTACATTGGTTGTCCAGTCTATTCTATCTCTCGTCAATGTTAAAACGTCCGCCTTTTTTACACGATCGTTATTTCGTACCATCGGGTACGAAGTTTCTGAAAAGTTATTTGTTGTATATATATCAAAAGGCTCTAGATAACACCTAAGTAAACGTGCTTATGTATAGAGGGTAAAATTCAAATTTCTCACGATGTTACATAACCCTTATCTGCTGTATGATGACTTCACTAAGCCACGTGAACTTTGACCTCCCCTGAACCTGTCCTTACCAGCCCTGTCCAGTCTTGATTGACAGTGTTTAATAAACAAAAATTGTCAAATTTCAAGTTCAAATATTCGTTATACGATGGCAAACACTGGTTTATTAGTTTTAACAAATCCATCAAAAGTGACAAAATTATTACCAATTATCAAAAAACATGTGTTAAAAACTTTATACATTCAATATCTCCCAGAGAAGAACATTTTTAAATCAGGAAAGTACGTTGTTTCTAATTCTCCGCAAAGACTAACAGACTATGCTCGAACAATTTCCAATATTTACATTGACACATCTACAATATCTTCACGACTTGACATTCGAGTTTTATTGACAAGTATGAAAACTTCGAATTTATCGATAATAAATACAAAAAAGCCCGTGGAAATTGTAATTTTTGACCACAACTACAGTAAAAGAGAAGCTGATACATTTATACAAGACTGTTTAGTTAATACTTCTGTAGGATGTGATTTCATTAGTTTAAATGATAATCAAAAAGTGGAGGACACAGATGTAAAGCCTTGTACAGAAGGAAAAACTTATAAGAATGTAGTACTGGGTGGTACGTTTGATCGAATACATAATGGTCATAAGATATTTTTAAGTGAAGCTGTGTTGCGTTGCGTAGAAAAACTTACAGTTGGCGTAACCAATACAAATATGTTACAGGGTAAGAATTTTAAACAGTAACTTTAAAATAAAAATATTTCATGTTTCATCTAACATAATTTAACAATCTTTGAAGGAAAATTATTATGGGAATTGATACAACCATACACAGAAAGAATAATGAATCTTAAAGACTTTCTAGAAGATATAGATTCAACATTAGTATATGATGTGGTTGTAATAAATGATATGTATGGTCCAACAAAGGATGATCCAACATTTGAATTAATAGTAGTTAGTGAAGAAACAAAACGTGGTGGAGATAAAGTCAATGAACTGCGTATGCAAAGAAATCTGAATAAATTAGATATTCATGTTGTGAAATTAGTAAAGGATGAAAATCATAGGGAATACGAAGAAAATAAAATCAGTTCAAGTAATAATAGAATACGATTACTAGGAACACGACTTCGACCTCCTGTATGTATGAAACATGCAACAATTAACAAAAATTTTAATTTCATTATTTTTTAGAGAATAGAAAACAAATCTTTGAAACCCTACATTATTGGTTTAACTGGTGGAATCGCAAGTGGAAAGTCATCTGTGGCTGAAAAATTGGAAGAATTGGGTGCAGGTCTTGTAAATTGTGATAAAATAGCTCATGATTTATACTTACCTGGAAAACGTTGTTTTGATGCAACAGTTAAAGCTTTTGGTCCCACTATTCTCAGATCCGATGGATTTATTGATAGAAAAGTACTTGGAAATATAGTATTTAATGATAAAGTAAGTTCACATAAATTTGTAGTTTTTGTATTTATCTTGTTATTGGGCTTAAAATTTTTGAAAATATAAATTTATTTACAGATACAGTTAGATAAATTGAATAAAATCCTTTGGCCCATAATTTTGGATGAAGCAAAGGTACAAATAAATGATTTTTATAAAAAGGGATTTGATGTTATTGTAATGGAAGCAGCAGTTTTAATCCAAGCTGAATGGCAAAGTAACTGTCATGAGATTTGGACATGTATCATTCCTCAAGAAGAGGTCAGCCCTTCTTAATTATATTACATAAAATTGTGTTATTTTGAAAAAATGAATGCTCATGTTTTCTTGTTCATAGTATGGAAGTGTTTGTTGATGAATTTTTTTTAATTAAAATATTTTATTTGGTATAAAATACTGTAACAATCTATATAACAGTATTATTTATGATACAATAATTTAAATCTGTACTATTTTTTCAATTTATAGGCCATAAAACGAGTGATAGAGAGAAATGGATTAACCGAAGCTGATGCAAAATTAAGAATTCAAGTTCAACCTAGTAATGTGGAACAAATTAATGTAGCTAATGTTGTCATATGTACCTTATGGAGTCATGATATTACTCGAAGTCAAGTACAAAAAGCATGGGATGAATTAAGGGTTTTTTTGTTAGCCCAAAATAAGAGTTAATTAGTACAATAAAAAACATATTTTTTTAATAAAATGTGGGTTTGGTGTAAATTGCATTTAAATAAATTTATAAGATATTTTTGTTAATGTTAATATTAAAGTAATTAATTATTTTTAACGTTTCTTTAAATAGATGGATTTAATTTTTTCTGTAATATTGTTATGGATAGTCGCAGTACAAATATTTTCATAGAACTTTTCCAATATAATATAAATTGTGTACAATATCTAATTAAATAATGGCATTCAGTAAACGTAATTTTATATATTGTGTATAATATATACAAAAATTTGTTACGAGTAAGAAGAGTTATGATTACAATACCTATTTTGAACACATACAATGAAAATAATACAAAAAGAAATATAAAATTATTTTCTATACCATGTATTACATTGCAAGTTATTACTTTGTAAATAATATATTTTCATTTAACATACTTTTCATTTCTTCATCTGCGTAATTGTACATTTTAGTAACTATTGTACTTATAAACGAAGCAAAATCAGCTTTGAGTTTATTTCCACCACTATCTACATTACATTTAACATGAGACACTTTTACAAATGTTGAAGCTATATTTATATTAAAATAAAAATGTATTACTGTTCATATAAATAATAGATGACAAAGTCAAAGTTAGTAATATTATGTGTATTCATACTTACAAATAATTTTTGATATTTCGGGATTTTTTTTCTCGGGATCATAACAAAATATGACACATTTATCTGAACCTAATTTTGTTTGATTTACGAAGTAGTCATATAATTCTTGCATTTGTTTCAAACATTCATTAGATTGCTCACTATACACGAATATAACACCATGTACATTTTTTCTTATAGCTGGCCAACAATTTTCAAATCTAAAATATTATTGGATTACATGTACTATATTTGGTATTATATTACAATAATCTATTAAAATAAAATACTCATAGATACTTCTGATTTCCACTACAATCCCATAACTCGATATCTTTTGTAATACTTTTGTTATTCACGTTTATATTTTGTACTTCAAATTCTAATATTCGAACACCTTGCGTAGGATAATATTCATATGGTATTTCAGTGGCATCCGCAAGAAAATTCGATATTGTTGTTTTACCGCTCTAAAACATGTCCTTATCAGTTATTAAGATATAATAGAATTTAGTTTACATTTACATATAGGGTGTCCGAAACTTGGGCGGTGAAATTTGCGAGGGCTTAATCTATTAATAATAGAAAAAAAATGTTATATAAAGTTTATAAGGAAACGCTTTGTTATAAAATTACAAAGAAATATTGTAATATCTTTTATTAAGTCTATAATAATTATTTATTAATAACCAAAGTATTAACGTATGATAGATTACATGTACTTAAACAAATTAAATATACACAGTCAACCTTCTGTGTGTTCTGTTAAAAACTACGTAGTTATTTATTTCATATGTATATATAATATTTGTTTATAATTCTATAACGGAGTGTATTCCGAGAAGTTTTGTATAACATTTTTTTCTCTTTTTATATATGGATTAAACCCTTGTAGTTTGGCCGTCTAAATTTCCGATACCTTGTATATATATTAATTATGTATTCTTTTCACTTTCATTTCATATTTTTATTAATTAAAAAAAAAGAAAAATGGAGAATCATTTTGATGTCATCTTAAAATTTGAAACATTACCCTAGCAGGTCCTACAACTATTATTTTCAACGGTTGCATGTTTCAAGTGTACTCCGATTCAGCACAAATGTCATACTACAAACTCGAATGTTTTGGAAATTGTTGCCATAGCAACCGGTCTTAATCTTCTATGTTGGTAATTAAGGAATAAATAGATAACTCTTTGTAATAACTATTTGTATAATAATGTTGGTGCAATTTAATAAACATATCATTGATCATAAGACGCTGTTTACAAATTAATGAAGAACACCATCCTGATATAGATTAATTTATTGAATTACATTAAAATTTCAATATCAATATAACATTGAAACGGAAATGTTTGGATGTCAAATAGGATCAATAGTATACTGTCTACAAAACTGAACTATTTAAAAATGTTGAATCTTTTGGAAAACGTATATTTTGTTCATTTCAAAGTGAATAATAATATTTTTATCAATTGTTGCATCTACTTACAATTCTATTTACCTCAGTAATACAAATATATTGTTACATACAATAACTCATTAAAGTCAATGATTATAATAATTAAATAATCGCAATTTCACAATAATTCGGAAGAATAATGACTCACAATCAAGTGTTACTTTATTGTAAATATAAATTAACACGTTGACCACCAAATCGGTACTCATTAAATTATTCATCTAATAAAAATAATTTTCCTAAGAACACAGAAATTGTAAAGGTTTTTGCACAACGATTGCTCTGTCAAACTTCTTATGTTTCAAATATACAAAAAAATTTCATTCACGCAGAAAATTAATTTGTAAATTTATAAAAAAAAAACATTGAAAT